ATTAAAATTTGTCCCATCTGAAAAATGGATAACTTGGAAGCCTAATATATGTACTATAGATTTTATTAATGGAGATCTTTATTGCGTCACGACGTATTGTGATAAACTCATATAGCCTGACTGACAATTTTCTCGACTGACTGACAATGTTTCTTCTTTTTCCCCATTTAGAATACAAAGATTAGTACATTTTAGCTTATGATTAATATTATATTTTTACCTATAGTTTACCTAGATTTTATATCAAAACAAACCTTCAGCAGTGGTAATTGAGTATCCGAGTAAAATTGTAGCTATGGCTACAGCGATTGTTGCCATACCAATTCTTGACTGTGGAATATTTTATATAATTAACTTAATTCAATCGAATTTAATTGTTTTGCAGACTATAGTTTTTTATTTTGCAGTATTTAAAAAAAAGTATCATGGGCTAATGTATAAGCTAAATAAACAGATAGTCAGTTATTTTAATTTTTAACTAAGATAAAATAGACGTGGATTTTGGGGGGCTGGGAAGGGGGGGGGGGGGGGGGGTTAGGCATAATTGTTGTCGCACGACAGCAATTAACCAATCAGCATCTGCTTTTAAATTTTACCAATGAAACTTTAATGTCATTTTCACATGTCCAAAAATGTGCTTCTCCTTATTAGAATCCACATTTATGAACTGTAACTACCATAAAAACTGAAGCAACAGCACGTTAAAAAGTAACATGGAAGTGAAAGTGAATATGAAAGTGAATATGAAAGTGAAAGTGAAAGTGAAAGTGAAATTAACTGTAACTAGTAACTACAGAACCATAAAAACTGAAGCAACAACACGTTAAAAAAGCATCATCTGATTGACACTGCATCAGGGTGTCCGACTAGTCAATAGTCAAGGGTGACAACCAAGCATTCAAACTTAAACACCTGCACGAATATAGATGAAGGGACTCACTGTACCCACTGCACCTGAGAACATGCACTGTTTGAAGCTGGCCAGTACGTTAAGAAGTTCACATCATGGCCCATGGGACTGGATACAAAAACAAGGATTTGTCGGTTTACAAGAGCATAAGTAGGAGGTGCACGCGCGGCGCTACTAAGAGCATAAGGAACTCACGTGCGATGTTTCTCTAGACGGCAGCTAAAAACTTCCCCAAATGTCAACTCTGAGACTGAGAGCATATGCTAATGATCTTATTGTCTGGTTACATGTTCACAGAGCGCCAGGTGAGAGGTGCCACTGAAGGTTCAGTGTAAGTAACAATAACTCCTTTTGTCACCAGATTCCAGACACAACTAAACACTTTTATAAACCTAAACCCGGAGGACCACGGAGGGGTTAGCACAGGTTTCATTGGTCCCTCAGCTTCTCAACAGCTGAACTAATGTTATTAGTATGTACCATAAGTAGCAGGTTTAGGCTTACAACTAGCTCTGCAGAGGAATGAAGCGGGTGAACTAAAATCTTTAGTAATAGTAGGGCGTGGGTTTGTTTGCAGGGATCATTATTCTGTGAGAGCAGTAGACTGTCAGAAGGCACAGTACGGGGGGGGGGGGGGGGCCAATGGCATAAAATGGCATAAAATGGCATAAAATGGAGACTTTTTCTATGGAGAAAATGGAAAAACCCATGAGTAATTCTCCATTTTCTCCATTTTATGCCATGAATTTTGTCTTCGAAATTTCATCTTTAACACCATTTAACACCTAAATTGGACATCCTAACATGTTTAATGTTTATTTACGCTTACTAGGGGCGTAACAAGCTTATGAAAGCTCATAGTAGGCTACTAGATGCTTATACTAGGTTAGTAGAGGCACACTTCAGGCAAACTCATAATTACTCAAGCCTAGTGTAAAGATATTTCTACAGGCTACAGCAGGAGTGAGTAATAGGGGAGAGTAATAGGCACTGAGAAGTGAGACCTACATCCTCGACAGTCGAAACAAGCTCGCACTGCAAAGGGGAGCCCTGCCTTTCGAGATCGCATTACCAGGGGGAAGCCTCGAGTCCAAATTTGTGTATCGAGGGGTAGGTGCAGACTTCGATAAACCGAAAAACCAAAAAAATATTTTCGGCTTATATATAAGCTACCCTCTTCATATTATAATGAAGAGGGTAGCATGAAACGTGGAGAAAAGTGGTTTTTAGAAAAACTTTGAAAAATTTTGACTTAGAAAATTTTCAGCCCGAGTCATTCTCGATACGTACCTCTCGTATCGAGAGCTCTCGATTCCGAGCTCGTGTTGCAAAGGGGAGGCCTGCCTTCCGAGATCGCATTACCAGAGGGAAGCCTCGAGTCCAAAATTGTGTACCGAGCGAGGGGTAATTTTCTAAGTCAAAATTTTTCAAAGTTTTTCTGAAAAACACTTTTCTCCACGTTTCATGCTACCTTGTTCATTATAAGAAGAAAATATTTTTTCGGTCAAAATTGTTCAAATTTTTTCTGAAAACCGCTTTTCTCCACGTTTCATGCTACTCTGTTCATTATTTGCCACACCTTCCCCTCGATACACAATTTTGGACTCGAAGTAATGCGATCTCGGAAGGCAGGCCTCCCCTTTGCAACACGAGCTCGGAATCGGGAGCTCTCGATACGGGAGGTACGTATCGAAAATGACTCGGACCGAACATTTTCTAAGTCAACATTTTTCAAAGTTTTTCTGAAAACCACTTTTCTCCATGTTTCATGATACTCTGTTCATTATTGGCCGAAAATATTTTGTCGGATTTTCGAAGTCCACACCTTCCCCTCGATACACAATTTTGGACTCGAGGTAATGCGATCTCGGAAGGCAGGCCTCCCCTTTGCAACACGAGCTCGGAATCGGGAGCTCTCGATACGGGAGGTACGTTTCGTAAATGACTCGGACCGAACATTTTCTAAGTCAACATTTTTCAAAGTTTTTCTGAAAACCACTTTTCTCCATGTTTCATGATACTCTGTTCATTATTGGCCGAAAATGTCTTTTTTTTAAATAATTTTTCTCGAAATTCTAAATTTTTCAGGTTTTCCATGGCATAAAATGGCATAAAATGGCATAAAATGGCATAAAATGGAGACTATTTCTATGGAGAAAATGGAAAAACCCATGAGTAATTCTCCATTTTCTCCATTTATGCCATTGGCCCCCCCCCACAGTACCGTTAGAAATATATATGGTGTGATCACAGGATTGTTAGCAGCGTGGCGGTATGGTCTGTGTACGATATTTGTCTACTTTTAAGGTCTGTAATTCCAAGGTATTTAATTGATGAAGGGTCCATAGCTCATAGCTGGGTGCCATAGTGCCAAAGTTAGAATGTTCTGATTGATCAAGGGTCACTTTTAATTAAAACTTGTTTACAGGAGAACAGATGCGGTGGAAGTGAGAGAGCAGGGTTCTCTACTCAGGGAGAGGAAGGGGATGGTAACTTCTGGGAGAACAACGTCGCTCACGGCTGTCTCTGGGGTATCTTTATAAGAAAGTGAGAGAAGTTAACTTTCATTTTTTCACCTTATTGTTGGAAGTATTTTTGTTTAAACAAGTTTCTTGGTATGATAAAGACCAAACGAAAAGATCTGATAATGCAAATTGCAATCCTCTGCTACCAGGGCGAAGATTGAAGTTACAAAGCTGAACAATGTGATTCTCTGGCAGAATTACGACTTCGGAGTTGTTCACTGGTCTGGATCTTCCCTAGTCATCCAGAATAGTGTTTTTGCTGACAACGGATTTTCAGTCTTTGCTATGGTCGTTGGACCCAACCCTCTATCGTAAGATTATATTTATTTATGATCCTTTCATACGATATCATCATTCTACATTTGTATCGATCAGTCTGATACTATGTAAGATGATATTACTGCTCGCTGATATCTTTTTGTCCATAACACTAACTAAACTATAAACGAGTATGCGTAAAATTCGACACTTCTCGTCTGATAACAAACACCTTTCTAAAACTCCATGGTTACTATGGTTACTATGGTTAAAACACCCAATCACTTTCAGACACTCGCTGGATAACAAGTACGTTGAGTACAAGAACACCCTGATATACGGTAGGAACGCTCAAAGTGCGTGTGATGAGAGAACAACAGACATGAACCCAACTGCTAAACCACATCCCATCTGCAGGTACACTCTTTAAAATCAGTGTATTCTGTATAGACACATTTTTGTTGAAATATTAACGATAATCAGCGACAATTGTCCAGTTTGAGGATTAAATTTTTCAGGGAAAGGTGGACGTATTGGGATTTACCTCAGCAACTTCTTTGCGGGATTTTCCGGCTGGCCGAAGAAGCCTATTTATAAGCCAATGAGCTACTCTGCCATCAAGGGCCCCACCACTTTAACTGGTTAGTTATTTGCGCATGAGAAGCTGTTTTAGTTTTGCTGTTTTGTTGATTCTTCAAATTGCAGTATATTTTGATTTCCCGATTTCTGATTTCTAACTCATACAAGTTAAACATTTAAAATAATTTTAGAATTTTGTCTTTTGATAACTTTTAAAATTCGAATCGGATTTCTTCGATCTTTTGTTTAAAAAAAATTAGAATCAATTTTCAATAATTAGCTCGTGTTAAAGAAGCCATCTTACACTTTGTATTCCAACTCCAGGGGTAACGTTTGCCAACTTTGGTCGCTGCGACGATGTGGCAATCAGTGATCTCCGTGAAAACGGCGACTGTTTCCACCCGGTTAAACTGAGTGGAATGAAGTACTCCGGAGTGGACATGGAGTCCAACCTCCTCAACATGAACAACCCTCAGTTATCGTTTGTAAACTCAGCAGATTGCGTGGATATGCCCTGTGATGCTAAGAAGAAGATTATTATAACTGATATGGACGGGACTACTCTCGGCAAGGTTTGAACTACAGTGTAAAAGTTGTTTTACCGCCCTAAACGCTTAAACGGACGCTTATTTCTCTCCTGGAGTTGAGGTATAACCTCATCCTATCCCTTATTTTTTATTTTTTCCACCATATCCATATATTCGTGCTTTGGGTGAGCTTTATATTTTTTATGTTTTGTTGCTGTCATATAAGAAGAGATAGAACTGGAAGAGACAGAACTGGAAGAGACAGAACTGAAAGGGACAGAACTGGAAGAGACAGAACTGGAAGAAACAGAACTGGAAGAGACAGAACTGGAAGGGACAAAACTGGAAGAGACAGAACTGGAAGAGACAGAACTGGAAGGGACAGAACTGGAAGAGACAGAACTGGAAGAGACAGAACTGGAAGGGACAGAACTGGAAGAGACAGAACTGGAAGAGACAGAACTGGAAGAGACAGAACTGGAAGGGACAGAACTGGAAGAGACAGAACTGGAAGGGACAGAACTGGAAGAGACAGAACTGGAAGAAACAGAACTGGAAGAGACAGAACTGGAAGGGACAAAACTGGAAGAGACAGAACTGGAAGAGACAGAACTGGAGGAGACAAAACTGGAAGAGACAGAACTGAAAGAGACAGAACTGGAAGGGACAGAACTGGAGGAGACAGAACTGGAAGATACAGAACTGGAAGAAACAGAACTGGAAGAGACAGAACTGGAAGGGACAAAACTGGAAGAGACAGAACTGGAAGAGACAGAACTGGAAGGGACAGAACTGGAAGAGACAGAACTGGAAGAGACAGAACTGGAAGGGACAGAACTGGAAGAGACAGAACTGGAGGAGACAGAACTGAAAGAGACAGAACTGGAAGAGACAGAACTGGAAGAGACAGAACTGAAAGGGACAGAACTGGAGAAGACAGAACTGGACGGGACAGAACTGGAAGAGACAGAACTGGAAGAGACAGAACTGGAAGAGACAGAACTGGAAGAGACAGAACTGGAAGGGACAGAACTGGAAGGGACAGAACTGGAAGAGACAGAACTGGAAGAGACAGAACTGGAGGAGACAGAACTGGAAGAGACAGAACAGAAAAAGACAGAACTAGAAGGGACAGAACTGGAAAAGACAGAACTGGAAGAGAAAGAACTGGAGGAGACAGGACTGGAAGAAACAGAATTGGAAGAGACAGAACTGGAAGGGACAGAACTGGAAGAGACAGAACTGGAAGAGACAGAACTGGAGGAAACAGAACTGGAAGGGACAGAACTGGAAGAGACAGAATTGGAAGAGACAGAACTGGAAGAGACAGAATTGGAGGAGACAGAACTGGAAGAGACAGAACTAGAAGAGACAGAACTGGAAGAGTATGACCAATTAGTTAACTATTAATGGCATATGACACGATTGGGGTACTGGAAGTATAATTTCCTCGGCTCTCCGAGAAGTTTGTTAAATGGGTGAACAGCTAAAAGGGTTACGACTTGACGACAACTTTGCTTGGAGCTATTCATCCTCACTTGCTCCTTAAAGCGTCCCTGTCGTCATGGCGACAACGTTACTCTCTCGATATCAGGTCACTGTTGCCCTGGTAACAACATTACTCTTCTAATAGCAGGTATATTATCATCTTTACTTTGTGTTCATATTCAATTAATGAGAGGTCCACATGATAGAGCTGCATCGCGTACACCTTTGCTTGTTAATAGCTGGAACTGTACAATTGTTTGTGTGCTGGAGTGGGTTACTGATAATGTTCACACATTCATCCACTTACTTAGCTTAAACTAATTTTACTGTTTGTATGAAATTGTTATGTTTTGACATTTTGATCTGATTTTGTTTCATATGTAGAGTTGGGGACCCGTGACAGATTCTTGAGACGGCTACAAGGCTTGTATTAGGGGATGAATTTCGTAAAAGGTCTGTTTGACTCTGACAAAGAGTCAGAATCGGGGTCAGCTCGAGCAAGTCGAAAGAAAATGAATGAAGATTTCGAGAAAGCTGACAAGTATAATAACAGCAGGAAGAAGACCAAATCGGGCGATGCTGATATTGATGGTGTCCCCCGACGTCCGAAAAGATCTAATAAAGTGGACCCCATGGAGTGTGAACCTAGACCTATCGAACATAGCATTCCCATGGAGGATATGGATTATTCTGAAGAGAGAGCCACCATGCCTCCCAGATCGAAATCTCGAGCAGTGATGCTACCCAGTGGCTTGATTATCGGCTCAGACGACGATTCTTCGATTCATACGTCCAGTCTTAGTTCCCACTCCTCTGATAGTTTTCATCCCAAAAACAAACTGGCCCACATGATCGGCTTGGAAGTGGAAGACGTTGACAATGGTAAATCAAGTTACATGTTGATGTTTTTCTTCGGATCTTTTGTTTTATTTAAGTTTATTTGATACAACCGGTTGTCTAACAGTCCGCTTATGTGATTCATGATTCAATGTTTGGCTTTCACTATTTTATTCTTCAACAGGCCTCACTGAAGACGATAGAAAGACCAGTTCGATCAAACGAAAAATCAGAACTCTGGATGGGGCGGGTAAGAGGAAATCCTCTGCCAACCTCGGACGAAGTGTTTCCGCCCCAGCCCAAGGGAAGCTATCCTTGGCGGAAAGAAGAACGTTACGTCGAGCAGAGAAAGTTGGTGTTGTGGAGAAGAAATCGCTTCCTTTCTGTACACAAATCGGTTATGAATTCACCATGGGAGTACAAAAAAGTGTACGAAAAATCCGGGAATTTTTTAGAAACGCACAAATTTGGGGTCGGTCTATAAAAGAGGTAGAGGGAAATCTGGGATCGGGAGTATCTACTTATTTCAGAGTTCTAAGATGGCTGCTGAAAATTAACATAATATCCATGGTTATTGCTCTTGGCTTTATTGTGGCTCCTGGTATTTGGATGGCAGAACGTCATACCCCAGATACACCAACACTACTAAACAAAGAGGACCTTAATTGTACCAATCCCAACTTCGTTGAAGGTGATGATACTGCTGCTGATATTAGTAACGCCATCCTCCAATTTTTGACTGGTCAGGGGTGGATGGAGGGAACTGCTCTTTATCTTGGGTGGTATCCCGCTAGCAATATTACTCGGACAAGTGGCACAGTTGAGAAAACTACCTACAACTTTCCTCTAGCGTATCTTGTTGTGGGCTTATTATACTTCCTGGTGGCACTGATCTTCATCCTGAACAATATCGCCAGACTATTCAAAAAGTCGGCTGCTGAAAAGATCGAAACAAAAACGTACGCAGAGTTAGTGCTTGCAGGCTGGGACTTCACCATCAACAACAAGAAAACAGCACAACTTAAAAGCGCAACTGTAGTCAAGTCACTAAAGGAAGCTCTCAGCAACGACGCGCAGAAGTTCATGAAGCGCTCTTACAAAAAGGAAATCGGGCTTATTATCCTGAGAATTTGCACCAACGGAATATCTCTGGCAGCCATGATTGGGACCGTATTTTTGTACTATAGCGAGGTAGTACAGTACACATCAGAATCTGCTGCTAACTCTACCGATATGTGTGGAGAGAAAATCGACAAATCAACCTTCGAGGACATACAGCTCGGTAACTTTTCAACTGAACAATTGTCTGCGGAGGTTGCAAAAGTGTGGTCCTCCTACTCTGCGTCTATCATTGTGTCTCTTTCCAACATTATCTTCCCGATCTTCTTTGAAATTCTGGGAAATTATGAGTTCTACAAATTTCAAAGTACGAGGATTGCCATAACCATGGTCAGGTCGTTTATCATGAAGCTGTTCAATGTGTGTGTCTTCCTTTACGTTCTTTATCAGGCGACAAAATACAGTGGAGATATAAGTAAGTAAATTTACCCCCTGAAAATGAGAAAATCTGCCCCTAAACACTAAAACATCAAACATTAAATAAAAGTCTTCAAATATAAATATAACTGGCTGTAGCCAAAATGAAGACTAGCTGTATTATAAAGCCTTTCTTTTCTGACACAAATCATCATTGCTAACATTTCCAGAACAACCCTGGCAGACAGACAACAACACGTTACAATACAACTGCTGGGAGAATTACATCGGAGCTCAACTTTACCAGCTGTGTATTATCGACTTCATCGTGTTTTGTTCGAGTCTGCTCGTGTCGGAAGTACTGCGGAATGTCCTGATCAACAATGTCAAGTGGATTCGAGCCAGGGTGGAGCAGCCAGAGTTTAACATTCCTAAGGAGATACTGGATCTGTGCTATAAGCAAATGATATTCTGGTCTGCTATGTTCTTCTCGCCTCTAATGTCTTGTGTTGCTGTTATCGAGGTTAGTTCGCCGTTATACGACTGTTCACATATTACGTAATCAGCTGAGGGGCCGGTTTCCAAACGATTACGTTAGTGTAATTTTGACACGATAGCTGTGGGGGGGAGGGGGGAGGAGGTAAAAATTGTCCAAAAAGTGATTACGTAATATGTGAACGACCCCTTATTATAGAGAAACATTGAAAACACTTCTTAGCTGAATTTTATTGGAATTTTTAGTTTGTTTCGCGAACTAAATATATGTATGGTTTCATTTTAATTCCGAGATCTACATTCCGATCGAGAAATGACCTTCTGTTAGGTTTGAAAATAATATCACATTCATCTCAGGTAATTGTGATATTCTACCTGAAGAAAACAAGTGCATTATCGAATGTGAGACCTCCACAAAAAGTAGTGCTAACCAGTCAAAGTAGCAGCATGGTGAACGCGGTCTTCCTGGTCTCCCTCATCTTCGTGTTTATTTTCGTGGGACTTGTCATCTTCCAGTTCAAGCCTAGCCAACATTGTGGGCCATTTAGAGGTTTGTCGGTCTTCTGTTTTTGCAGGCCCAACTCTTCTGTGATAATCTAACAATATAGTAGTGTTGAAAGTATTAATACTTTCAACACTACTATATAACAAATAATTTGAGATCATGAATACGATGTAGTTACATTGAAACGTCGAGTAATCTCCTTTCCCTAATAGGAGCATTTTCACTTGTCGCAACAACCGGGATAAAGATAATTTTACACAGAATACATTACAACAATGCGACTCATAAATAATACTCCAATCCGGATTTTACAATCTAACTATAGTTAGCTCATCTTCTTTCAAATCACTCATATCAATGCTATTATAACCTCAGTTTTTATGGACGGTTCATTTCGGAATAAAAAACGTTTTTTACCACTTTTTGAAAAAAAAAACGATTGAAAACGGTTTTAGTTTATATTTTTCAACGATCTTTAAAAAAAACTTTTTTAACGTTCATAACAACTAAGGTTATAACACTAAGTCTCACCCACTCTCCGACACCAGGTAACGAAAGAATCCACGAACCTCTGGGATTCCTTATTGAAAATTCTGGAGGGTTCAAAACGTACATCTACGATAATCTGAAGATGACGGCAGTGACCATTTCTATCGTGATCGTTGTTCTCCTTATCATATACTACTTCAAGTAAGATTACTTGTTTTTAAGCATTGTTACAGATGGAAAACAAATCGGAGACAGCATCTCTAAGTTTAACCAGTTATATCGTTATTATCTCATAGGATAAAACACCATTCTAATATAAATCTGTTGAAAAAGCAGTAAGTTACATAGTTATAAGATATGTTGGTTCCCGCAGGAGCCTTGCTGCATCAAGGAACTTGACTATACGACTACTGAGGGATCAGATCAAGACGGAGCATGTTGATAAACAATTCCTCATCGAACACATAAAAAGTCAGATCACAGGTCAGTACAGTTGTAATTTGTAATCAGTCCGCCAACCTTGTAACCATTCTGTGATATCTATATATATATATATGTGTTAATATTGATCATGATCAATGGTTTGGCACATATAGAACAAGTTAACTATGTGATTCATGGCAGTTGACACTGATACTTGACATTTATTATATGTACAACCATAACATATTGAATTTTGACAAACAAAATTATAAAATTTTGAAATAAAACTCACAATAATTACAACAATGACAGACATACAAAACACCAGTAAATCTACTGTAAGTCCATGGAGCAAAATCTGGATTTACAGTAAGACTAAGACGATTTACTGTATTTTTAAAGCTAAACAAACGTTTCGTATCACTTTAATGTTTTAAATGATACCCTTTTTTATTTTTAATAATCCCCTGTTTTAAATAATACCCCTCCATGTTACAGTAACCGAACTTTGCTTTACAGGGAAACCCCTGCAAGCCAACAAGAAAGGACGGGATGGTACGATAAGCAGAATTTCTCAAAACAGCAACGGGGACTTGGGAAATAAAAAGAAGAACATGACCATTCACAGATATGCTAACCCTACAATGAAAGTATCATAGTCAGAGATTAAGGAACTGTAAACTTAAAGCTCGGTGATTTTGGCTAACCTTTATTTTGATGACGATTTCCGTTAATAAATAAACTGGAAACATTTAATAACAATTTTAGTATCTGGCGTGTTTATTTTCTTTCTGGATGAAAATATTTATGCAATACACAAATTCTATAATTTGATTTATCAGAATTTTGATAACTTTGATAATATTAATACAGTGTTTCGAACAAAGTACGTATGAATTAATTTTACCAAAACCCATAATTGGGTAGAGTGGACCACTGCCAGTGTCTCCATTTCCCAAACAAAAGGAAATAACCGACAACCGACCTCAAATACAAAGTATACCGAAATGAAATCGGTCGCTCGCTTTGGGGCTTCTCCAAGGTCTCTCCACAATCATTATATAATATAGGTAATTATAATTGATATCATTTACTTTTAGTTTATTTGTTAATTTTAAACATGGGTTCCCCTCTATTTTAATGCAGAATACAGATCCAGGTTCTATAATAGTAATCAATTGTTTTTTATCATATCTCTGTGCTTTACTCTTGATCGAAGAGCAAAGACTCTAAAGGAGCAAGGGAACATGTAGGTGCGGTAATATTTTGCAAATAGTGCGATTCCGCACATGTGGGGGGGGGGGGGGGTCAACCTCATTTTACCTCATTTTACCTCATCCCAATTTTGCCTTTTTTGGCTGGCCTTGTGAGGTAAAATGAGGTAAATCTCGGCAAAAATTTTAACAGGTAAAATTATCTAAATCGTCAATTTAGTCACGAAGGAGTATGGAAGGAGTTCTAAATGTGTGCTCCTCTAATATAAACAGTAAGAAATGGTTAACTTTAGTCGAGGTCTCAGGTCTCTACAATGTCGGGAAGTTCATGCAGGAATTTGCGCATTGCGCTTGAAGCGCAAGATTCACAGCGCCAAAAGCGAAGGTCGTAGAGACATGAGACCTTGACTAAAGTTAACCATTTCATACCATTGCTATAAGAGTATGCACTTTCAGAGTCCTGAACACACTCCCATATCTCTTAATCGTCAATTATATGAATTTTACCTGTTAAAATATATCATCTTTTACTGATATCATTTTAGTTTAACACTGTTAGTTTTAAAAAAGAAAGTAATACTTCACACCAAACTAACACACTATATGAGAATATAAAAAGGAAGGTTTTCTTGGAGACCTGGATCGAGCATCAAAATAGTGTACATTGCTACTGTCATTGTCAAGACTCAAGAATAAGAGGGTCTAGTTGTGGGATTATGCTGGATAACAGATATGATAAGTGGTAACATCCTACAAAAGAATGTTAGCTTACTAAGGAATTTTCCTCTTACCGAATCATACAAGAAGTTAACTAAGCTCCTCCTGGTCCTAAGCATTATCTTGTTTCAGAGGGAATGAGTGATTTAAAAAGATGAGGCCGAAGAGTTAGTTGTGAAGAAAGCATTTGTACTCTGTAATTTCTAAGCTAATTTTTTTCGATATTTTTAGCTATTTACTGATCTTGTCTTGACGTATCAGTAAGAGATCACTGGACCTCGTTCGCGTTAGTTGTTAGTCATGTTATGCTGATCCAGTTAGTGACGAGCCATGAAGTAATCATTCGACCTCATTTAATACTGATCCTATCAATGACGAGCTATGTCTACCTTAATTGGAACTTGCTGACTGCATTGGAAAATGGAGAACAATCGAGAAATGATAATCAGTGCCAGGATATAATCAAAGTTGAATTTGGAATCCAAGGAAAACCTTCCTTTTTTATATTATCATATTGTGCGTTAGTTTGGTGTGAAGTATTATGTTGAAAACAAAAATTAACAGTGTTAAACTAAATTGATATCAGTTAAAGATGATATATTTTAACAGGTAAAATTCATATACATGTAATTGACGATTAAGAGCTGTAGGAGTGTGTTCAGGACTCTGAAAGTGGCATACTCTTATAGCAATGGTAAGAAATGGTTAACTTTAGTTAAGGTCTCATGTCTCTACGACCTTCGCTTTTGGCGCTGTGAATCTTGCGCTTCAGCGCAATGCGCAAATTCCTGCAGGAACTTCCCGACATTGTAGAGACCTGAAACCTCGACTAAAGTTAACCATTTCCTACTGTTTATATTAGAGGAGCACACATTTAGAACTCCTTCCATACTCCTTTGTGACTAAATTGACGATTTAAAGAATTTTACCTGTTAAAAATTGGTGAAAAATATGGGCGTGGCCCAAGTCAGTATTATACGAAACCGTAGAGACACAAAAAAATTTTTGGTTGTTCCCGACCCTATAGAGCAACTAATTAGAGGTGATATCTAATTATTTAAACGAAATGTGGTTTTGTGAACCGCCCTTTATTCTACAGCGAATCATGAACATTGAACATACTACATAAGAACTTTTTTTTTTTTTTTTTTTTTTGAAATAAATTTCCGTGCACATACAGAATGAATGGTTAATAATTTAATATATATGTAGACCAAGCTCTGTGCACGGGATGCTTCCTGGAAGAATCCAGTTCTTTTAGCGGGGCACCCTACCTAAAGCCAAATTGAGATATAATAATCATATTCCTAGAGAAATAATCAGAAATCGAATACCAATCAAATAATATGATATATATGAGTAGTAACCATATTTACTATGCAAAATGCCCCAACCACATAGTGTAAATTTATATAGAATTCAAATTCCATATCATCATTAAACCTCAATACCTAGTCAATATAATAGCCCAAGCAAAATTAAATAACTTCTTATATACCTTACTGTCATACTACAAATTAATTAAACATTTGAAATCTGTTGACCAGAGAATAAATTTCTAAGCCTAATGCAAGTGAAATAATTTAGATGCAATAATGAATGCCTAATGTGAGTATCATTTGTCAATGTCCTTGTAAAAAAGTCTGTACAAGAGATATGAGTAACTAACTTAGAATTGTATGAAGTATGAGTTTATATGAGTAATTTATTATAAAATTACCTTTCACTATGCAATTTCGACATGCAAATTCATGTAGATATCCAATCCAGTTCCATGCACAACTGTTGTTTACATTTGGTCTAGTTAGACACAATTTGTTTCAGAGTGACTCGATAATCGCAATATCAAATTAAGATATTATTTAAATGGTCCATGTCATGCAATGCGGAAATATCCCCATAAATTGGCAACTGCCAAAGCGACACTAAAGTTATTGCTAATTCCTTTACAAAACTTAGCAAGTGCTATTTACAATATCCTAATGGATCATGGAAATTGAAATGTTCAATTTTCTTTTCATAAATAATAATTATAATGCGAAGTTTTATTTACCCCAAGTTTGGAGAGTAAGTAGGTTAAACTGGGAATGCCCCTTCCCAGGGACCACATCACCCCTTATAAAACATTAAATATCATGGGAGACCATGCACAGCCTCGAATTATAGTATAATGACTTCGAATAAACCTTTTTTGTCTCTAAAAAAAGGCTTAGAAAACTAGATTTATTTACCTCATTTTACCTCATTTTACCTCATCCCAATTTTGCCTTTTTTGGCTGGCCTCGTGAGGTAAAATGAGGTTGACCCCCCCCCCCCACATGTTTAGATTTTTTTTTATGCTGCAAATTTGTGATCACTTGTGATGATGTTGAACACAAACAAATAAAACACCATTTTCAAAAGAAACGCCCAATAAAACCTTAAACCATGAATGACCAATAGTCAAAGACCCCTAACAGCCAGCTATGAGAGTCCTATCCAAATATTCTAGTAACTTCTTCCGAACAAAGTGTAAGCCGTGGCGGGTTTGCAACAATTTTGTTGTATACATGTCTCACAGGTAGCATCAGCGGGCTGATCGAATGGAATGCAGAGACTCTTAGCACCCATAGCGGGCGCCTTATCATCCTCCGTCACCTCTGTCCGAGCACTTTCCTTCTTGATTATTTCTTCGCAGGAGATGTCTGCAGGATTTGGGGAATGCTAGTGAAGAATAGCAAAGGACACTTTAATTAAATGAGGTTTAATCAAACCTTTATCATAAATACATATTGTAAAAACTATTTGCTTCTCTAAATTAACAGTTCAAATAATCGCACACACAAACACAAGGAAATATCCCACACTGTAACTAACCTCCACAATACGGTGCCTGGATGATCTTCTTCTGGTCGAGCAGCTTGCAGAACTCCTCCCAGTTTGTAGTGACAGCCATGTTAGCATCCCTCTCCACTAGCGCCCTGTTGTACATGTCGTCGTGTATTGTGTCAAGGAGCTTGCTGAGTTGGTCGTCCAGGTTCTCATTCTGGAGGGTTGCTTTAACACCTGTATCTCTCCTCACTACCACCACCTGGTCAAGGTTAAAACATTAACACCTGTATCTCTCCTCACTACCACCACCTGGTCAAGGTTAAAACATTAACACCTGTATCTCTCCTCACTACCACCACCTGGTCAAGGTTAAAACATTAACACCTGTATCTCTCCTCACTACCACCACCTGGTCAAGGTTAAAACATTAACACCTGTATCTCTCCTCACTACCACCACCTGGTCAAGGTTAAAACATTAACACCTGTATCTCTCCTCACTACCACCACCTGGTCAAGGTTAAAACATTAACACCTGTATCTCTCCTCACTACCACCACCTGGTCAAGGTTAAAACATTAACACCTGTATCTCTCCTCACTACCACCACCTGGTCAAGGTTAAAACATTAACACCTGTATCTCTCCTCACTACCACCACCTGGTCAAGGTTAAAACATTAACACCTGTATCTCTCCTCACTACCACCACCTGGTCAAGGTTAAAACATTAACACCTGTATCTCTCCTCACTACCACCACCTGGTCAAGGTTAAAACATTAACACCTGTATCTCTCCTCACTACCACCACCTGGTCAAGGTTAAAACATTAACACCTGTATCTCTCCTCACTACCACCACCTGGTCAAGGTTAAAACATTAACACCTGTATCTCTCCTCAATACCACCACCTGGTCAAGGTTAAAACATTAACACCTGTATCTCTCCTCAATACCACCACCTGGTCAAGGTTAAAACATTAACACCTGTATCTCTCCTCACTTCCACCACCTGGTCAAGGTTAAAACATTAACACCTGTATCTCTCCTCACTACCACCACCTGGTCAAGGTTAAAACATTAACACCTGTATCTCTCCTCACTACCACCACCTGGTCAAGGTTAAAACATTAACACCTGTATCTCTCCTCACTACCACCACCTGGTCAAGGTTAAAACATCAACACCTGTATCTCTCCTCACTACCACCACCTGGTCAAGGTTAAAACATCAACACCTGTATCTCTCCTCACTACCACCACCTGGTCAAGGTTAAAACATTAACACCTGTATCTCTCCTCACTACCACCACCTGGTCAAGGTTAAAACATTAACACCTGTATCTCTCCTCACTACCACCACCTGGTCAAGGTTAAAACATTAACACCTGTATCTCTCCTCACTACCACCACCTGGTCAAGGTTAAAACATTAGCACCTGTATCTCTCCTCACTACCACCACCTGGTCAAGGTTAAAACATTAACACCTGTATCTCTCCTCACTACCACCACCTGGTCAAGGTTAAAACATTAACACCTGTATCTCTCCTCACTACCACCACCTGGTCAAGGTTAAAACATTAACACCTGTATCTCTCCTCACTACCACCACCTGGTCAAGGTTAAAACATTAACACCTGTATCTCTCCTCACTACCACCACCTGGTCAAGGTTAAAACATTAACACCTGTACCTCTCCTCACTACCACCACCTGGTCAAGGTTAAAACATTAACACCTGTACCTCTCCTCACTACCACCAACTGGTCAAGGTCAAAACATTAAGACCTGTATCTCTCCTCACTACCACCACCTGGTCAAGGTCAAAACATTAACACCTGTATCTCTCCTCACTACCACCACCTGGTCAAGGTCAAAACATTAACACCTGTATCTCTCCCCACTACCACCACCTGGTCAAGGTTAAAACATTAACACCTGTATCTCTCCTCACTACCACCACCTGGTCAAGGTTAAAACATTAACACCTGTATCTCTCCTCACTACCACCACCTGGTCAAGGTTAAAACATTAACACCTGTATCTCTCCTCACTACCACCACCTGGTCAAGGTTAAAACATTAACACCTGTATCTCTCCTCACTACCACCACCTGGTCAAGGTTAAAACATTAACACCTGTATCTCTCCTCACTACCACCACCTGGTCAAGGTTAAAACATCAACACCTGTATCTCTCCTCACTACCACCACCTGGTCAAGGTTAAAACATCAACACCTGTATCTCTCCTCACTACCACCACCTGGTCAAGGTTAAAACATCAGCACCTGTATCTCTCCTCACTACCACCACCTGGTCAAGGTTAAAACATCAGCACCTGTATCTCTCCTCACTACCACCACCTGGTCAAGGTTAAAACATTAACACCTGTATCTCTCCTCACTACCACCACCTGGTCAAGGTTAAAACATTAACACCTGTATCTCTCCTCACTACCACCACCTGGTCAAGGTTAAAACATTAACACCTGTATCTCTCCTCACTACCACCACCTGGTCAAGGTTAAAACATTAACACCTGTATCTCTCCTCACTACCACCACCTGGTCAAGGTTAAAACATTAACACCTGTATCTCTCCTCACTACCACCACCTGGTCAAGGTTAAAACATTAGCACCTGTATCTCTCCTCACTACCACCACCTGGTCAAGGTTAAAACATTAACATCGGTGAATTATGGCGGAGCTAGCGTTGTAGACTATGTTGCCGTAGGAGCTGACATAAAAGCGATCGTTAAGAGTTTTAGAGTCCTTGATTTGAACAAATTCTCCGATCACAAACCCTCTGTCACAACACTTAGCCTGAGACACAACATAACCCTTTCAGAAGAAATACTGCGTGACCTCGAGGACGCGCCCAGGAAGTACAAATGGCCATGTGAGGATAATGCTGAGCTCAAATTCTTGCTAGCTATGGGTGACCCTAGTATAAAGGAAAAGACGGAAACTCTGGCTACAAGTTCATGCAAAACCCCTCAAGACGTTCTTAACCTTAACAACCAAATTGTTGAGCTGTATCATCAGGTTGCTGAACAAGTGATGCCCCGAAAAAACGCCTCAAGTCGTCAGAAAGGGCCGAGACATAATAAATATGGTAGCACCAAAAAGAAGAGTCAACTTTTGCAAGTTCTTCAGTGAACTTTACGGCAAAAAGAACATCAAAGACTCTAAGATCGCAGAGCTACAGTCAAAGATGCAGAAAAACAACATTTGTGACGACCTGACCAAGCTTTTGGATCAAGATATAAAGATGGAAGAGCTATGTGCTTGCATTAAGGCCACTAAAAAAGGAAAGGCAGTTTCCGAAGATCTAATTTCTAATGAATTCTTCAAAGCCTCAACGCGATCCATGCTCAAAGCAGTCCTCAACCTCTTCAACCACTGCCTAAGCCTATCAATTTACCCATGGACTTCATCAGTAGTTACACCACTACACAAAAAAGGTGATATCTATGATCCAAACAACTACAGAGCCATCGCTGTAGCGAGCAATCTCGGAAAGCTCTTTGCAAGCATATTGCTGAAAAGATTGATATCATTCCGTGATCAATGTGATCCTGATACAGCCAACCAACTAGGTTTCTGTAAAGACGCACAGACAGCAGACCACATTTTCACACTTTCAACCTGCGTGGAAAAGTATGTCACCAAGAAACGCCAAAGGCTATACACATGCTTTGTCGATTATGCCAAAGCGTTTGATTCCATCTGTCGTGAGGCACTCCTATACAAGTTGTGGAAAATGGGTATTCAAGGGAGATTCTTTGAGTGCATTAAGTTCATGTACTCAAACTCCTCAGCCAAAGTGAAGCTACTAGACAAGCTGTCACAGAAGATCGACATAATATGTGGTACTGAGCAAGGACACCCCATGTCCCCTGAACTGTTTAAATGCTTTGTCCACCAGCTTTCACATGATCTCAACAACATCGAAGGAGTGAAAGTCCCTGTCCTAAATGATACAGATATAACTCATCTGCTATGGGCAGACGACCTTGTCCTTCTAGCCCTCAACAAACACAGTCTTCAACAAATGCTTGATGTCCTAAACAATTACTGCTCAGAATGGGGCCTGACAGTAAACATTGGAAAAACTTCAGTCCTTGTGTTTAACCCAACAGGAAGGCATCTGAAGGAAAGTCATGAGTTCAAACTGGGAGAACAACAGATCCCCTCCGGGAGAGAGTACTGTTACCTTGGCATTACATTTACTCTGAGCGGATCACTTAAGCTAACACAACAAAAGCTGAGGCAAAAAGCATTAAGAAGTTATTTCTCTTTGAAAAGCTACATTGATACCCGCCACATCAGGAAATCTATACTGTTCAAGCTATATGATACACTTATTGTACCTGTGGTGTCGTATGGTTGCCAAGTGTGGCTGCCAAGCACAGCTCTGTTCCGCAACTTCCCCACAAACACGAGCACCACACCAGAAACAGGAAACGTGTGTACACTCATTGCCAGGGACCCTCTAGAGAACTTTCATCTGTCTCTTTTGAAATGGACCTTAGGGGTGAGGAAGTCAACATCCAATGCTGCGATATGGGGTGACACAGGCAGGCATCCACTAGGCATCACGCTATCAAAGCAAGTGTTTAACTACAAAGAAAGACTTGAACAAATGGTTGTAGACGGTCGTGACTGCTTTGCTAGACACGCTTTCGAAGAGCAGGCGACCCTAAACCTGAGCTGGTTCTCCACTCTCGAGCAGATGCAAGAAACCATCGAGGCATCAGAGAGAAACCAAGGATTAAGACCAAGCCAGATTAGAAAGAGTTTGCAAAAGTGGTTTATAAACTCATGGGAAACAGAAAGGACATCTAACAGAAAACTATCATTCTACAACTTAGTGAAGAGAAAGTTTGCTCAAGAGACGTATCTAGCCCTTGATCTTAAACCTAACTGCTCAAAGAAGATCGCGCAATTCAGAAGCAGCTCCCACCGCTTTAACGTTGAAACTGGTCGCTACGGCAAAAAGCGGTTTAACATAAAACATCGGGCCTGCAGACATTGCTGCTCAAGTGACGATGACTTGTTAGATCTTCTCTATGAGCTACCAGGGGCCTATCCAGTGATAGAAGATGAGCATCACATCCTCTACGAATGCCCCCTATACGAAGACCTACGCAAAAACCTGCATCATCGAACGAGGGACCTGTTAGTAATGAGAGAAGAACCGGGAGAAATCTTCGACGACTCAACAACTATTAGAGACATTGGACGGTTTTTAAATAAGGTCGATGAACGGAGGTTCCCGAAGAAAAATACTGAATGAATGTCGTGTTTTGTATATTTTGATAAGTGTGTGGACATTGTATGATACTTTCTTTGTCATTGTTGAGTGCTCTTGGCTGAGTTTTTTCTGCATACGACTGTGCTATCTGTGCTATTTTCTTTTACATGGCTATCTACTTTTACCACCTTGTTTGGTTATTTGTTACATTGGGGTAGTTTTGAATATTAAACCTTCTATTCCTATATTGGTCAGACACGGCATCTGCCGTTTGACCCAATTTTGTTTAATTCCTGTTTAATTCCTGTTTAATTCCTGTTTAACACCTGTATCCCTCCTCACTACCACCACCTGGTCAAGGTTAAAACATTAACACCTGTATCTCTCCTCACTACCACCACCTGGTCGAGGTTAAAACATTAACACCTGTATCTCTCCTCACTACAACCACCTGGTCAAGGTTAAAACATTAACACCTGTATCTCTCCTCACTACCACCACCTGGTCAAGGTTAAAACATTAACACCTGTATCTCTCCTCACTACCACCACCTGGTCAAGGTTAAAACATTAACACCTGTATCTCTCCTCACTGCCACCACCTGGTCAAGGTTAAAACATTAACACCTGTATCTCTCCTCACTACCACCACCTGGTCAAGGTTAAAACATTAACACCTGTATCTCTCCTCACTACCACCACCTGGTCAAGGCTAAAACATTAACACCTGTATCTCTCCTCACTACCACCACCTGGTCAAGGTTAAAACATTAACACCTGTATCTCTCCTCACTACCACCACCTGGTCAAGGTTAAAACATTAACACCTGTATCTCTCCTCACTGCCACCACCTGGTCAAGGTTAAAACATTAACACCTGTATCTCTCCTCACTACCACCACCTGGTCAAGGTTAAAACATTAACACCTGTATCTCTCCTCACTGCCACCACCTGGTCAAGGTTAAAACATTAACACCTGTATCTCTCCTCACTGCCACCACCTGGTCAAGGTTAAAACATTAACACCTGTATCTCTCCTCACTACCACCACCTGGTCAAGGTTAAAAACATTAACACCTGTATCTCTCCTCACTACCACCACCTGGTCAAGGTTAAAACATTAAAATCTAAGACGTTCAATTTTTTTAACAGGCAAGACTCTAAGAGAAGGGGTTGGGAAAAGCTTGCACATATACAATTTCTTCAAAATAGCTATTGTACAGGGGTCGTTCACATATTACGTAATCACTTTTTGAACAGTTTGTACATCCCTAACGGACGAGAGTAATAGTTATGGAACATACCTGATTGTTCTTGAGATCTCGAGGTCCGATTTCAATCCTCACAGGTACCCCCTTCAGCTCCCAGTGGTTAAACTTCCATCCAGTATTATAATTCTCCCTTAGATCAGCATGAGTCCTGACCCCTGCTTTTTGTAACGTCTTCTTCATCTCCGTGCAGTGAGTGTTAAGCTGGTCTTTGTTGGCGTCAGTTACACCACATGGTACGATTACTGCCTGGGGAGATAATGTTTGTCAACAAACAAACAGGTAAATATAATGTTGACTGTTGAAATGATTGATAACCAATACAAGGACAGGGTTTTTACAATAAGAACAAGATCGCCTGACCATTTTGATAAAAATAAGAAAAAGAAACGGTAAAAAATGATATTTTCACTGGCAAAAACGATTAAAGTGTCGATTATAACCAAAGGTTTTGCAACCTGGTAGACGATTGTGGTGATTAGTTCCAGAAGAAGAAACAATGTATTAACAACTTTGATGATAACCGCACAACGCTTCATTGGCCGAGCCAAAAATGTTATGGAAAATAGATTGTGCTGACTACACCGACGAGTGCAAATGAGGACTTGTAGAAGAGGAAGACCATTATTTCAAGAAAACAGTCTCTAAAGGTTTTCAGTTGGGTCGTTGGTTTGCAGCAGTTTATCCTAAACTCTGTCAAACTTTTCAAGAATTTTAAACCACCTGGCAACTAGACATTCACTCGGCATTGAACATAAAGTTTCTTACAAACGTCCATTCATGTTGGGGATTGATAACGGGACTGTACTCTTCACCACGTTATTGTTAGACTCAGTAATCTTTGCGGAAACATACTGTAAAGAAAAGATTAATTGGTTAACCAGTAATGGTGTGCTTTGTCTTGGAAGTGTTCAGTACATTTGGTAGCCAAATATCCCTCTTTTCGATGACATTTCTCAGCATCTTTAGGGCTATTGGTATCATCAAAGTCCAAAAAATGACCTCCAAATATGCAGCTGCAAAAATGGTTGTCATCATTGCGATAATGTCAATTGCATCATTTGTTCTGGCTTATATCCCCTTAATGGTCCGCTATGAGGATATCTTTGTCAATGGCATGACATATAATTCTAAAGTTACAATATTTCCAGCATTTGTTACCAAAGACACACACATTAACAAAATAATCAAATATTACGGAAGAATCGTTGGCTCTGTAGTGTACACTTGGAAAAATTGATACCTTGACAAACAGAATGTTTTCAAACCAATATGGAGGCATAGGGAGACAGAAAGGTCCAATTTTTATGGCATGCATGGCCGTAAAGTCTGCTCAAATACTTTAGTATCAAGGGAAAGACACACAGAAGGTTTATGTATGGTCGAATCTACTTCTGATTTGGTTGTGTTTCATCATCATATTTATCTGCTACTGTAAGTCTTGTTCTTTAAAAAGAGCTCAAAGCAACGAGCTAGAATGCGCAAGTATAGAGACCAAAATATACGCTCAAGAGATAAAGAGGAAACCGACAGTCACATAGCCATCATAATTGCGACAGATTTCTTTTGTTTGGGTCCCATTTAATGTCGGTGTGTGCGCTCACTAATTTGAATTAATGATGCTACAGCCTTGTATCCAATATATCAATCGTGAAATTCTAACTCCATAAATTCTGTCATAAATCCCATCATATATCATAATTACGTAACCCTGACAGTCAAGTTGATGGTTAATAAAGTTAAATATTGGGTATCTCTATTTTACATGGCTTATATAAGAAGGTGTATATTAACGATAGACAAACTGGGTTTGACTAAAAGAAGGAAAGAAGATGTAAAAAGAAACGACGACATGACATCACAATTTGCTAAAGAAATCATACCATGTAGCAACAACAAAAATCAATAAGGAGGTTCCTACTGTCTTGTTTAAAAATGATGATATTTTGTTGGAGTCTACTTCAAAATTAGCTATCACTAAAAAGAATTTAGCCACATTGCATGAAACAGAAATAGCTACTGAGTACCTAAAATATTCCTAAAAAAAGAAGTTTTAGCAAATAAATTCATCATTATGCATAGGATATTGAGAACTAATTCCTGAAGAATCGAAAATAATCTCAAAACAAGGATAAAAATCCGAGAGAATATTTTGGAAAGTTGAAAAAGACCAGCGAGTTGTGGATTAAAACGAATTACCAAGAAAATGGTAATTGGATGCCCGTGGTAAAAAAAGGAAGTTTTGTTCCAAAACAATACAGCACAAAAGATCGATCAGTCGCACTCTTTCAAAAGGAATTTACTGCTGAAACCTCTACGATTGAACAGGAGATTTTAGAAAAACCCTTCCAATTTGAAGATGAAAAGAACCTGAGGTTATTGCTCAAAGTTTTGATTCAGTGATACTGATTGCTTTGTACATTATCTAAAATTTAAACTGAATGTAGTCCATGGCGTCCCGTTTCGATATTAAAGCGATCATGAAGTGAAGATTTTGCGACTTCTTCGAAATACCAAAAAATGAGTAGTGAGCTAGGTTGGTAATTCTACGCAATCCCAAAAAAGCTCCGTCCATAATTGCTTCACAAGCGGAGATAATACGGGCATATCAATTACATTTTTCCAAGTTGCGAAAGGTGACAGAACAGCATCTACTCATGTGAAAATACAAAAACCTGATTTTTAATCGTCCATACAGTTTTCTGTTGGTTTATTTTAAACTGAAAAGATTGGACATCCGGATATAAACCCATCAAAGTTTCACAATATCTTCCTAAAGGGTGTACAGCAATTAAATTAAATTTAGTTCCTACAAGCAATTAAAGGCAGCTCACTTCATGGAACTTGAAAAGATAAGCACTATCAGTGTTCAATTTGTGATACTTTCGTTCTGTACGGTCTTTGTATTCTAACAGTAATCAATTTTAACGTTGCAAATGTGTTTCATTTCTGAATAACGTGTAATGTGTTGACGGATGTTACTCGTCTAAATTTCTTCGAAGTAGCGCGCGCCGCTTTCTTCTTGGCCCGTAATGTGTAGACACGAACCTAACATATGTATCCGTACTCCCGTGGATAAAACTAGGTAGTACTAGTGGCTCAACGACAGTGAGCCGCCGTGCCGACTGAAGGATGGTTTATTTAGCGCTTATTTTTCGGCCAGCACACCTTTTCTCAAAAATAGATATTGATACCTTCCCGACCTCCGAATGCAACAAAAATTGTAAGCTTACTCATAGACCCTACAAGAAAGTGTCGACAAAATTAAAGCTATCCAACATCAGAACTTATGTTACACTAAATCCGCGTATTTTGCCCCATTTTGATCACTATAACACTCCGAAATCCACCAAATTTTTCGGACAGATGTGAAAGCCCTATGGGAGGTCGTCGACAATATTCAGAATGATCACATTCAAGGAACTAGAAAGAAAATATCCGAATAATACCACAAAAAATCAACGCATTATGGGTCAAAATACGCGACTTTTACAGCTACTTTTTGCTCCAAAAAAGCGGCGCACCTTGATACACTGTTACGTACACAAATAGCGCGCGAAAAGTGGCATGCAACGTATGTCAACGGCGCACCATCAAATATGGCACCTTACCTAGGCGAAACTCACTGATCTTTACAAACGATAACAAATAGGTACTGTAATTGTGAAAATTCTTCATAGCCCTCTAGAAAACAATGGTACAAAATTTTTTTAAATCCGAGCAAGTTTATTTTTATCGTGCTCGGATTTTCAAAATTTTTGTAACATTGTTTTCTAGAGACTGTGAGAATTTTCACAATAACAAAATTTGTCAAATGTCATACCTTGTTGAATGATCAGTGAGTGTTTGCCTATGATGCCACAGGAATCATGCCTGACATTTTTCAGAACCTTCCAATCATACTGACCTACTAACCTAAATTAGTGGGAAGAGTAATCATTGATAAGATGTCTAAAAAAAATGACAAAATACCGAGCGTACTAAAACACTCTACAGTCGATCCTTGAGATTGTTCTAAAAGGCCCCCGACAGTTGAAACTACTGTCGATCGATGTATTTCGGACGCTGATTCCGAATCACCTCACCCCAATGACATAGAGTTAAAATGCTCCCCCTGACGAGATATAGGCGAAAAACTGCCTCGATCACGTGATATGACCGTAAAAGGAAGTTAGTCTAATTATTCTCGTTAGGTTTAGTTTCAGCATAGCTTTTGTTAAGGATTTGGTTAGGTTAGGGTTGGTATCAGATAAGAGGGGTTACGGTTTTCGAATAGTCGTACAATGACCAGCGATATAACGGGTTTGAAAGTCACGTGACAGTCGAGAGTAGAGCGATTAATTACATCCAAAATAATACGGCTGTGTTAAAAATTATATTCGTTGTACTATACAATTTTTACTTGAAACATTGTTAATGGTCTGCCCGGCGCGCGCTACTTCGTAAGCACTTGCCCATTTTTTCGAGAAGAAAGCGGCGCGCGCTACTTCGAAAGAAATTTAGAAAAGTAACATCCGTCAAAATTTTACGTGCCATGCTTGTATTTTACTTGTTATTGTAAATCTTTGTCATGTGGGTACCATCCATATTTGATGCGAGGGCGCGGCCCAGTAGTGCATCGCGATATATAAATACGATTACGTACAAGCATGCAATAAATTTAAGCGCGCGCGAGCATGAATTCGCTGTGAAGACGCGATCACAATTAGTAACACACCCAGCCAGTAAAGTTTGCTGGGTATAACATGCACCTTTTTAAAATGATCAACATTACCAGAGTAGTGCGCAATTAAGTCGGTAATGTAGTGCCTAATGTTAAGAGATGATCATCTTGGGTAGTAGTTGCGCGGCTTTGAGCAACAACAAGCAGCTAATTTTGAACCGTTTTCTCTAAATCACTCGCCTCAATTAATTTTTTTGTAAAAAGGGCCCTGAGGTTTTGTAGCGCGATGCACTATTGAGCCGCGCCGGGCGCATATTCTTCGCAACCATATTTACGTAGATCAGCGAAATGCACCACTGGGCACTCGCCAGCTAGGATGATGACATCGTGAATCAAGCCCTGAGGGTATTATAAAATAATTTAGATCGGTGTATTTCACTGTTTTGACGAACTTTCTTTGATACCATGTTTAACAATTCACTGAGGAAGGCACAAAACACGATTCACAAAGTTATATTTCCAAAAAGAAAGCTTTGATACATGATAAATGGAAAATCATCAGAATATAAAAAGAGGTTTTGGAA